ATTTTATGAATTTTAAAATAAGCAGGGAAAATAAAGATTACATGAGGGTGGGATAAAGCAAAGCAGGGATTATATTACAGGAGAGGTTATGGAGGGGTCTGAAAGGGTGGACAGGTATCGGAAGGAGGGGTCTGAAAAGAGGCATTGCAAAGGTGTGTTAACCTAGATGCACAGAAACAAGGAACAGGGCTTGCTTAAGGCAAAGATAAACCTTTTATTTGACTGGGGCATGACTACCCACTAAGACCTGCCCTGTTAGGAATTTATGATCAGATCACCTTGTGAGGTTACTTTCCATAGAATTTTTTTCCTTCAAGGTAATGAGAAAATAGACTCCTTTTTGCAGCTGTGAGCCCCAGATGAAGAATAAAAGACAGGCAGTAGTATTCTTTTTGTAATATAATTCTAATAAAGAGTAATTTAAAAGGTTTCTGTAGACAGTAGTATATACGTATATATGTATATATATGTAAATTGTTATTTTCAAAGAGAAATGAATATATTCAGTTTTCCTATTTTTTAAAATATATTTTTATTGATTTCAGAGAGGAAGGGAGAGTGGGAGAGGGAAACTCAGTGATGAGAAAGAATCATTGATAGGCTGCCTTCTGCATGCCCTCTACCAGGGGTTGAGCCCACAAGCCCAGCATGTGCCCTGACCAGGAATCCAACAGTGATCTCTTGGCTCATAGGTCGATGCTCAACCATTGAGCCACAGCTGGACAGTTTTCCTATTTTTTAATGAATTGAAAATAAATCATTATTATCCCTCTCTGGTTTGACTCACATAATATTTACTGATTTGCAAGGAGATGCAGATTTCAAGCTATTTTATAACGTGGAATCAAAAGCTCAAATGAACGTCCACTTTGTTCTGCCTCTACTATGGGAACTGTGGAGTCAATCACTTAATCTTTAATCGTTAGGTCTACTGTTTCTTTTATTTTTTTGACCTACTGAAACGGGAGGATGGTAGGTGATTGCCGAGATGCTGTCTACCTTTGCCACCGCATGCACTTTCCCCAGGATTGCCCTTACGTTCTGCACCAGTGCTTTCGATGCTTTCATCGACCTTCCGGCCTCTGGGGACAGGCTGCCAGGGGCAACGGGCGGTGGCTCCCGAGGGCGGGGACATGCCAGGCCCGCGGGGTGAGGTTGGGACCGGAATCTTTCAAGTGTAAATTTTGGGTCTAGGAAAGTCCGATGGAGCCCCAGCCCGCCTTCCCTTCCAGCCCGCAGGCTCCAATTTCAGGTCCT